AACTGTTCCAGAACCGAGTCGGAACCACAGAACCGAACCGGACCAGAACAGCGTCTGGAACACAGTTTAAACAGAATAAAGCGTTTCCACAGCTCAAAGCCAGCTTATGTTACACATACAGACGTACAATTCAGCTTTATAAAGACTCAATGACACAATTTCAGCTTTTAAAACATTGCCAGCGTAACACAAGCGCGCAGCTCCAATTGCGCTGCGTAAAGACGCACGGTTTCAGCACAGCTGATAAACTGTTACTTTTTCAACATGCCAACATTTAAATCAATCTTTACACGAATTAACAGTCATTCATGAACCGTTACGAGCCACCAGTTTGTAGTGAGTCACGTGGGTACGTGTCACTAGTTGTATGACAAATATATGTGGTATATATTCATGCATACTTTTCACGAGTTCTTCATTTTTCTGACTGTAAATGCCGTGCATTGAATTTAACAGAAATGTGAACGAGAGACGTTATTATCTTTGACTCATCAAATGAATGGAGTCATTTATTTTCAGAATCAAAGTTTAACATCAAACATTTACATTAATTTGGCAAAATATGAAAATAATAACAGACAGTTTCACAAATAATGAACTTCAAATCACTCGGCGGTGATTTGAGGACTTTGCTTCAGATATTTCTAAAATATCTGTACTAGTTTTGTGAGAGAGAGGTGAGTTTAAGAGGAAATTGAGATTTATCTTACAGAGGAATATGTGAGGGAATTTAATCTGTTTAACCAGAAATTGCACGCTCCGTCAGATCTCAGCTTTGCCCACGGTACACTTGGTCGAAGAAGAACTGTTACCTTGTTGAAGTTCATCAGCTCAGTAAGAATCCTTCAGACTCTTTTTCAGCGTCTCCGTTGAGAACTGCTAAAATCCTTAGAGAGTCGTGCGTGGTTAGTTCAAACAGAATCATAATCCCAAAACGTCTCTGGATTCTCGGCAGCTCTGACTCTTCATTGTCAGCAGCTCTCAGACTCTTTCAGATCTTCTCAGACTCCAACTCCAAAACTCTCCATAACTCTAGTTCTCTGAATTCCCATGAATTCTCTTCAGAACTCCTTGAGAACTAACTGCACTCCATGGAATCTACTGCACTCTGCCAGAACCGGGAAGTTGTCACATTTTAAATGAGTTTACTTCCGAGTTTACTTCAGAGCTTTCTGATTCGTGGATGGACCAGAAAGAGGAGTGGTTTTGACGTAAGGTGTTTATCAAAAGTCGAGGTCAGAGAATGAAATTTGTTTTCAACATACAGAAAAGATTATTGCAGTCGACCAGACTTCGTGGAGTCTCACACTTGGTAATCTTTTCAAATAGTAAAACATGACATTTCTTCTTCAGTAAACATTTAGTTGACCGAAGCTTCAACTTTCACACACTTACGCCTTGGCTCATTTCAGACAGAAGATCAAGAAATGCATATTCAGGTGATTTCTTCTTTGAATGAGGAGTAAAAATCATTACTTACTGTTTATGTAAAATAAAGATGAGTAGTTCTTTTCAACCTGTAAGCATTGAGTGAACTACCACAATTTGATTATCAAAACATTTGTAAGACAGTAATGATTATAGAGGATTGTCTTTTCTGCTTGATTAATTCAAGAAAGAAAGTCATCAGATGGCCCAGACTTATTCAGATCAATGAAAATAACAGTCTCTGTCCATCTGGTAGATTTGAGGTCATCAGGGTCAGATGGGGGTCAGATCATCAGGTCATCTGGTTCACTACAGTATGAATTATATCATGTGAACAGAAGCAACAAAAGAGGTGGTGGAGTGGCTCTATTTGTTAAAAATGAAATAAAATGTAAATTAATTAATGAAATGTCAATAGTTGTTGATAATATCATGGAAATAATAACAATAGAAATAATAAACAAGAATGATAAAAACATATTAATAAGTTGTGTATATCGATCTCCAGGATCAAATATAGAAATATTCACTGATAAAATGGTACAACTATTGGACAAGAGTTTTAATAAAAACATTTTTTTGTGTGGAGACTTTAATATTGACCTGGGAAATAAAACAGATTCAAATAACATCAGTACATTTACAAATTCATTGTGTAGTTTAAATCTTTATCCGTTAATATCAAAACCAACAAGAATTACAACTCATAGTGCTACAATAATCGATAATATTTTCACAAATGTAACAAATGGGGATGTGATTGGAGGTATTTTAACGAGTGATTTGAGTGATCACTTACCAGTTTTCATGATTTATAAAAATGATCAAAGCATTACAAAAGAAATTACAATTAAGGAAAAAACAATAAACACATCAAAAAAAGCAATGGACAAATTAAAAGATGATTTACATAAACAAAGCTGGAAAGACGTGTATGTTGATGATGTGAACAGATCATATGATGAGTTTATGAATATTTTAGGAGCTCTGTATGAAAAGAATTGTGTGCAAAATAATTATACAAAGAGAAATGTTGTTGACCAACCATGGATGACGAAAGGGTTGAGAAATGCTTGTAAAAAAAGAATTATTTGTATACATGTTTCTTGAAATTGAGAACACAAGAGGCTGAAGAGAAATATAAGAAGTATAAAAATAAATTAGTAGCGATTATAAGGAAACACAAGAAGGAATATTATAGTGATTTATTAAATAAAAGCAATGGTGATATGAAAGCAACATGGCAAGTAATAAATAGTGTTCTGAAAAGTCATAAAGCAAAAACAGGTATTTCACAATATTTTTTGAAGGATGACGATGAAATCCATGATGAAAATGAAATTGTAAATGGATTTAATCATTATTTTGTTAACGTTGGATCAAGCCTTGCTGCTAAAATACCAAAAGTAGACAATAATATGAACCATTCAGTTATAAGTTGTGACAACAGTATTTTTCTTAATGGAACTGACAAAGAAGAAATAATGAATGTTGTAAAAAATCTTACAGATAAGAGATCAAAAGACTGGGTGGACATGGATATGATGTTTGTAAAGGACATAATTTGTTATGTTATCGAGCCGTTTACATATATTTGTAATTTATCATTTTCAAAAGGAATATTTCCAGACAATATGAAAGTAGCTAAGGTAGTTCCTCTCTTTAAAAATGGTGATAAATGTGTGTTCAATAATTATAGACCAATATCCTTATTACCACAATTCTCAAAAATTCTAGAAAAACTGTTTGTGACCAGATTAGATAAATTTATTACTAAACAAAACATTCTAAGTAGCAGTCAGTATGGGTTTAGAGCAAAAAACTCTACATCAATGGCTCTCATGAAAATAATGGAACAAATAACTACTGCTGTCGATCAAAAACAGTATTGTGTTAGTATTTTTGTTGATTTAAAAAAAGCATTCGATACTATTGACCACACTATTCTCCTTGAAAAATTAAATAAATATGGTATAAGAGGACCAGCATTACACTGGGTATCTAGCTATTTAAAAGATAGGAAAGAGTTTGTACAAATAAATGGTGTAAGATCTGACTTGTGCAATATCACTTGTGGAGTTCCTCAAGGCTCTGTACTTGGACCAAAGTTATTTATTTTATATGTGAATGACTTAGTGAATGTATCAGGACTCCTCAAATGTGTCCTTTTTGCAGATGACACCACATTTTTTTGTTTGGGTAAAGATGTAAAACGGATGTTGGAACTGATGAAGACAGAATTTGATAAAATACAAACTTGGTTTAAAATTAATAAATTATCATTAAATTTAGATAAAACTAAATACATGATATTTAGTAACAAAAAGAAAACTGTTGATGATCCATTTAAAATTGAGGGTGTTGAGATTTGTAGAGTTAATGAGATGACATTTTTGGGTGTAATCATTGATGAACAGCTAACATGGAAAAATCACATAAATTCTGTAAGAACAAAAATATCTAAATCTATTGCAGTACTATACAAAGTCAGGGAATTATTAAATGATAAAGCTCTGTACATGTTGTATAACACAATCATTGTTCCACATTTAATCTATTGCATTGATGTTTGGGGGAAAGCGTGTAAAACATTTACAAAGTATTTTTATTTTACAGAAAAGAGCTGTAAGAATTATCACCAGAAAGCATTACTGTCACCCATCAAGCACATTATTTCATCAACTAAAGTTATTGAAGTTCCATGATCTAGTAGATTACAGTATTTTATCAGTTATGTATAGGGCTCAAAATAACACATTACCATTAAATATCCAAAGAAATTTTGTTAAAAGACAAAGTTGTTACAATCTTAAGGGGATAGAAATATTTGTCAAACCAAAATTCAGAACTAGTCTGAAGGGAATGTCTACCTCAATCCAAGGAGTTGGATTGCGGAATGGTCTAGAGAGTGATGTAAAAAATGTCAAGTCAATGTGTACATTTAAGAAAAAGATCAAATCTAGATTGTTAAAAAAGTATATATGAAGTAGCTTAGTGTGTGTTTTTTATTAGAATTAGAAAAATTAGAAAGTTATTCATTTTGTTCTGTTACTTGAAAATTAATATGTCTGAAATAATTGTTTGAAAAAAGGGGCAGATATAATAAGATTTTTTCTTCTTTCTGCTGCCTTTCATTTTAAACTTTTTTGTATCTTTTTATATATTGTTATGGAATTGTTTTGTACTTTTTTTAAAATGAATAAACTTCATACCATACCATACCATACCATACCAATCAAGAGGTTGTTGGTTTGAGCTCTATTTGTGTTGTGGGTTAATGTTACTGTATTAATAGACATCTGATGGAAACTGGAAGTTGAAGTCAAAACGGAACCAGCTTCCCCACAAAAAGTGGTTCTTGTACAAGTTTAACATGTGTG